GAGGAGAAGGTAGAAATGACTCAGCCTGGAACTGAAAATATGGATGGAGGACAACAGAGCTGCTTCATGGAAGAAGAACCTCCAGGGTGGACATAGCTTGCTAGCAGCCTCTGCCTCTGTCCCTGTCGTCTCACTTGTCTCTGTCTGCCTCTCTGTGCTCGTGGCCTCCTCTGTAGCTGAGAGCAGCAGCTCAGAATCAAATCTGACAGAAATGACTGGTCTCTGTGCAGGAATGTGGGCAGCCAGTGGGCTCTGGATCAGGCCAAGTACAACCTGGTGAACGAGTACATGCTGGTGGGAGTGACGGAAGAGCTGGAAGACTTTGTGATGATGCTGGAGGCCGCGCTGCCACGCTTCTTCAGAGGAGCCACGGACTTGTATAAAACAGGTGTGGTCATCATTAAACATGTGCTCATGTTCTGTTCTTCAGGTGATGAACACCACAGACTCAGTTTTAAACTTTGGACCCTTTTTTAATAGTTTTCTGCCCCTGTACATAAAAATAATGTCACATTGTGATTATAAATGACAGAGCAGGATCAGTGTTTTTATAAAGGTGGAATAAAATCCAACAAAGATCTGATTCAAGACCTGAACGATCATCTTTCAGTTTAACATTTGWACTAGGGATGCACCGATGTGAAAATTTCAGCCGATATCGATATCCAATATTAATATTGCTATTATGGCAGATWATCGATACTTAACGATATTACACAAACACACAAATTATTTATATACATGTACGCACAAACACACTTGTGTCTATTTTCAATACCGTAAAAAGAAACGAGCAGACCTCTGACATGGTTCTGCTTCTGTTCTTCCTGGCTGCAGCGTCACTAACACTAGGTGCCAACCATCACGATCTCAMCRTAATCATTACGATACTGAGACCCGCTCTGAACCATTACRGCGTACTAGACATTTAATACGATCTGGCCTTGCGCCGAGCTCCTGGGAACCCCCTCCCRCTGCAGCAGCATTTTTCCACCTACGCGGTTCGGTTTGGCTCCACCCCAATCCGCACCTGTTTTCRGTCTTTCCACTGTGGCTCCCGGCCGCACTCGGCCCACTTTTTCGGACCTCCTCTCGAGGTAGTACTGAGGCTGGTGTTGTACGAAATTCAGTTCCTCTGTGAAAATCTGTTCCCCCTGTGTTGGAAGCGCCTCCCTCATGTTAACCATTTAGGTTTGGTCTGACGTTATGCCTGGACCAGTGATTCTCTCTAAGGTTAACCACTAGGGGGAACAGATTATCACAGGGGAACTGAATTTTGCACAACAGCGGCGCGCTGGGAGAAGCTAAAAATATACTGGGCCCTTTTCAGAGTAGTGAAGGACCACAACAACARCCAGAGTGGCTCAAAGCCGTGGGACTAGAGCTGCTGTGCGTAAATGGAGGGGATCGCTCTTTACAGCCACCGGTTAGTTAGCTAGCTGCTGCTACTATAGACTGGTCTCGTCACAAACTTCATCTGCAGACAGTCAGTACTTTGTGCATTTAGTGAGATATTGAACGTAATTTATGGGACACGTCTCGCTTGTGAAACTGTACCTTTTATTTATAAAGTTTGTTCCGATGTGTCCTTGAGCATGTTTGTTTCTGATGCTAACTACTTAGCGGCTAGCGGCCATCTCTAGTTAGCGATTCAGGCTAAAAACAACAGCCCAAGCTCTACATTTATTAATTAATTAAGTAATTAATTTTGACCGTATTCGAGGCTAATCGTTGGTTTTCTGTTCAGAGTCAATATAAGCAACAGTTTGCTGTAACAGGGCATGAGTATCATTTACAGACTAAATACCCTGCTACAGCAAACCGTTGCTTATAAATGCAGTAAAACAAAACCAAAATGGTTTTCTAATAAATGAAATTACACTTACTGCACACTTTTTGCCCAGGAGTGTGAGTAAATATGTTGATTTTTTCTTTATGGATTTAACTCAATAAAAAACAAACAGCAATGCCAATAGTATCTTTTATTCTTTACTGCACAAAATAAAAGTCAGACAATATACAGTATACAGCAGCTACTTTTAAAAGACGTTACCGCTCCGAACTGAGCCAAGAGGAGCCGGACTCAGTAATGGAAAAGACTACTCATCTGTTATTATTTTTAAAGGACAAATAAAGTTTCCTCCTTATTCAGTTTAAATATTGTGACAAGAATTCCCTGTGACTAAAATTCATCTTCAGCTGTTGAGTCTGATTATAGAAGGGTGAATGAATAAAGGAGACCCAATAATAGGATAGATGTTTGTACTGTTTAGCAAAGTTATGTTCATAAAGCACCCATTTTATAAACTCTGTTTTAGCACTTGTTACTTAGAATCTCTCCATCTAGAAATAAGTAGGTTTGTATGAATACTTTGAAGTTTAAAGATATAAATTCCAAATATTTTTTATGATGCGCACAAACTGCCAAAAACGAACGCACGACGCAAATGCTCCGAGACAATCATTGTGATTGGCACCTCTGCAATATCATGATCAAACAGATACCACTCGACTAACCATAACTATGTTGGATGTTTATATTGGTCCAGTTTTACTTATTGGATCAATGCCAGTTTTCTGAAAAATGACCAACATCGSCCGATACTGATGTTAATGCTGAAATATCATTCATCCTTAATTTGTACAATGAGTTTTGAGCTGAAGCAATTTCAAGCCTGTTTTCAAATGTATGTAATGAATAAATAATGTACCAGGATCACAAAATGAAAAGTCTTTGAAAAGGAGAGGGGAAAAAGTAGAAACTTRTTTAATCCCACCTTTCTTCAACRCTTATTAATAGTAATAAGTTCTTTGGACRTTAATCTTAGAGCTAAAAATCTGTTTGTCAGACTAATTATGTCAGGTAGTCTTTATTTTTTTCTACAATAGGATCCAATATGAAATATATTTTAGTCATGTGGTGTGTGTGGACATGGACACTGGTTCTGTGTCCACCTGCAGTGTCCACTGGACTAATGACTTTTAACACCCGACATGTTTAATGTGGTATTCTGCCAGAGTCAAATCCAGCTGTAGTTAATTTTATTTTTTKTCTAAATTTTTTTTGTGCAAATTTCAGCTTTTTAAGCTACATTTGAGCTATTTTCTGTTCATTTCGACTTGCTGCTATTTTGTGTTAATTTTCTTGTTTTTCTGCTAACCTGAGTTTTTACTCCCTGCTCTGCTGATTTAAACTTGTTGTCCTCTGCTTTTGTCTTCCTGCTTTCAGCAGAAGTCACTTTTTCAAACTGAACTCAGTTAAACATTTTCAGCCTCTTCARCAGCTTTCAGGATGTTTTAATACATTTTAATCCTGTTTTATTCCGATCATTTATCCTGAAGCTAATGAAGAAGACAACACTGTTCAGTTTTATATATTTTTCAATTAATTTAAACCAAGGTTTGTTCCCTCCTGAACTACATGCATTTGGAATATTTTATGTTTATTACTCAGAATCATGTTTAAAATTGATCTAATATCAGGTTTTAAGGCAACAAAAAAGGGAAAAAAAACTTTTTAAAAGCACAGTAGTTGACTCTGAGTAGTTGGTTTTATGATGAATGAAATTCCTGTTTCTCTTCTTTTCTTCCAGGCAAGAAATCTCACCTGCGGAGGACGAGCGAGAAGAAGCCRCCCACCAAGGAGTCCATCGCCAAGCTGCAGCAGTCGGCCATCTGGAAGATGGAGAACGACTTCTATGAGTTTGCTCTGGAGCAGTTCCAGTTTGTCMGAGCGCACGCCGTCAGAGAAAAGGACGGCGAGCTCTACCTGCTGCCTCAAAACTTCTTCTACGAGAAAATCTACCCCAAAAACTGAAGAGCTGCATTTCTGAGGAGCAGGTTTGGAAAGACGTGATGATGGAGGAGGAGGAGGAGGACAGAGCGTTCAGACTCAGCCAGCTGCTGGAGGAGATTCTGCTTCCCTCCCCGGACTAAGGTCCAGTTTCTGACCCGTGTACACAGAACTGTTGATCAGGTGTGAACTCTTTCCATCGGCTCTGTACTGTTTGTGTTTGGTTGTACTTTATCTTTTTAATATGATCGTTGTTCATATGTAAAAACTAACCTTTTTTATGGTGAACAGACACCCTCATGCCTCACTTTGTGCTACTAACTTAAAGACACTTGATGTGTAAAAAGCTGATTACTTTGTTTTACTGGACTTCAGTTTCAGGCTTTTCTGTGGTTGTTGTGTTGAGCAGGTGTTTTATACTGCGTTTAATGTCGAGAAGGCTTTGTAAATTTCTTAAACCTGTTCACAACAGAACACAGTAAAGATATCAAATATCAAACTGAAGACCTTTTAGGAAAATGTTGTTTTGAATTTGATGGCAGCAACAAATCTGATGTTCCAGATGTTTCCCTGTGGAACATCTCCTCCAGGACCTGAGGAGACCAGTTCTGGAGGTTTTAGAGGAAACCATAGTCTGCTGGAGGATTCTAGCTGTTCAACAGTTTTTTGTTTTTTTAATAACACATCAGATGTTTTCAGTTGATGAAAGGTTTGGACTCTAAGCAGGTCAGTTCAGGACCAGGGGCCTCATTTATAAAGGATTGTGTGGAAACCMCACTAAAAGTGAACATACCGCCAACAGGCCAAAATGGTATTTGTCCAAAAAAACTTCAGATTTATAAAACCCTGTGAACGCATGTTTCTGCACCTTTTCTTTATAGATCACAGCTGCACCTCAAAGTTTGAACACAAGGTCCTTCCTCAGGTTCTACCCTCTACACGCCCACACTCAACCATAAACAGTCAATGTAAAGTACCTCATGAATGTTAAGATGTATTTAAATCAGTCAGCTGATCAATGATTGGCTCAGACATGCTCTCAGTTGTGCGTCTGGAGGATGACAGGTGCTGACAACTGCACGTGAACAGAATGTCTGTAATTGACACAGATTTTATTTTTTTCTCAGAGCCTAGGATGCTCAAAAAACAATAAAAGAAATTAAATCACCCAACCATTGCCCCATTTTTCAGCTAGAAATAAGTTCACCACCCCCCCATCCAATGGCCTCTCCAATGCTAACACTAGCCTATCCATGCTAGTTGCTAGCCTCTCTGATGCTAATGCCAGCTCATCCATGCTAGTCGCTAGCCTTTCTGATGCTAACACTAGCTTATCCATACTAGTCGCTAACCTCTCCGATGCTAACACCAGCTCAGCCATGCTAGTTGCTAGCCTCTCCAATGCTAACACTGTCCTGTCCATGCTAGTTGCTAGCCTCTCCGATGCTAACACCAGCTCATCCATACTAGTCGCTAGCCTCTCTGATGCTAAAGGGTGCCACATACTCAGGCGTACTTCAGTCCGCAGAGGTCCACGCGGACTCGAGGCAGACTCAATGCGGACTCGAAGTGGACATCCGCGGACTGGTCCATGTAGAGATAATTTTTTTACGTTTGCGGTGCGCACAATGGCCTGTACTGTTCTGGGTGCGACACCAAGCTGATAAAGTTGAGAACTGGTGTCATTTGTGGACGACATGGAAACAAATCTTGAAGTGTCTCATGGAGGAGATTAGAAAACTTTATGACGCGTCAATGAAGGAATATAAAGACTTTCAGCGAGCAATAAATTTGTGGGAGGAAATAGCTCAGATCCAGGGTAAGGTAGTTCTTTTCTTTTATTTTATTTTATTGTTTTAAACCTAAAATGCAAACTATCTCTTCCTCCTGAACCTTGACATCATGACTGAAATTGCAAGAAGTTAAAGAATTTGTCTGGTGGTATGTACGCTCGAGTATGTGGGAGCCTTAACACCAGCTCATCCATGCTAGTCTCTAGCCTCTCTGATGCTAACACCAGCTCATCCATGCTAGTCTCTAGCCTCTCTGATGTTAACACCAGCTTATACATGCTAGTCTTTAGCCTCTCTGATGCTAACACAACTCATCCATGCTAGTCTCTAGCCTCTCTGATGCTAACACCAGCTTATCCATGCTAGTCTTTGGCCTCTCTGATGCTAACACAACTCATCCATGCTAGTCTCTAGCCTCTCTGATGCTAACACCAGCTTATCCATGCTAGTCTCTAGCCTCTCTGATGCTAACACAACTCATCCATGCTAGTCTCTAGCCTCTCTGACGCTAACACCAGCTTATCCATGCTAGTCTCTAGCCTCTCTGATGCTAACACAACTCATCCATGCTAGTCTCTAGCCTCTCTGACGCTAACACCAGCTCATCCATGCTAGTCTTTAGCCTCTCTGATGCTAACACCAGCTTATCCATGCTAGATGCTAGCCTTTCCGATGCTAACGCCAGCTCATCCATGCTAGTTGCTAGCCTCTCCAATGTTAACACAAAGAATAGTCTCTATTTGCCAGCACCGGCCTCTCAGTTAGCGGTGCCAGCCTGACATTAATCAGATCAATAGCTGGCTTAGGAACAGATATAGCCTCCTGCTACTAGGATGTAGCAACCGTTGGTTATGCAGTAGTCTTAATTTTGGCCGTCATACTGCACTATATAATATTGTCTTGCTGAAATATGAAAGATCTTCCCTGAAAAATCTGTCATCTGGATGTGAGCAGATGTTCTAAAACCTGTAGATATTTTTCTACATTGAGTCTTTAGAAGTGTAAGCTGTTCCTATCATAGGCACTAATGCTCCCCCATCCCATCAGAGAGGCAGGCTTTTAAACTGAACTGATACCAGTCTAGATGGTCCCTCTCTTTAGTACGGAGGACATGGTGTCTGTCGTTTCCAAACAGAATTTCAGATTTGGATCTGTCTGACAGAACAGTTCTCTTTGCCTCGGTTCGTTTTAAACCATCTTCGCTTCAGAGACRACAGCAGAGCTTCTAATGGAAAACCCAGTGTTGGATTTTTGTTTAAGCTATTTAAATACAAATTAAAATATGCAGTTGTTGTTTTAATTTGTAGAAATGATGGAAGKCTCCAAAGAAGAAGAGTAAATGTCTGGAAGAAGACAGCTTAAAAACAGAAATCAATCTTAAAGATACTCAGAATATTAACGTTATTTTGTTCACATTAAGGTCATCAGCTCTTAGTGAGACTCTGTAAATAACACAAACATATTTATGGTTCAGAAGGTCCCAAATGGTGCGCTAACAAAATATTAACGTCTTTGGTTTAACCATTAACATGAAAAAAATACTTATTTTTGCAGTTGTCATTTTTCTAATTTAATTTTTAAACAAAAGACTAAAAAAACACCTTATATTTGTTCTCTCGCTTTATTTTGAAACAAAAACACAAAGATGGAGATTGTTCCTGAGTCCATGCAGTGAAGTCCAGAACAGAGCCAGACCTGCTTTTAATGCAGTGGCCCCTGAGGGCCCCTGAAGGCCCCAAGATCATCCAACATGGACTTTCAGCTTTGAGCTCAGAGATTTCTACAGATTAATAATAATCTGTTGAGATCATGAACTGGAGATGATTCAATGTCTTTCATGAAGGAACTTTATTCTGAAAATGTTTAAATATGTTTGCATCTGACCACCTTCACCTCAGATATTCAGMCTCTAAAAGTTGTTTTTTAACCTCTGACCTGTTCAGTCACTAAATGCTCCTTCAGTTCAGCTAGTTCCAGCGTGCTTTTGTTGATCTGACCAGGACCCGTATTTATTAAACTTCTTAGAGTGGATTTTTAGACTTAAGTGCTGAAAATTTCTTAGATTTGCTCCTAATCTCAGACTTAAGTCTAAGTGCCAGTTATCAAAATTCTTAAGTCTAAGAATCACTCTTAACTCTTAAGAAAAGTTAAGACTGCTCCAGAGGTAAGTAGTTAAGAGATGCCACTATTGAGGAGACAGAGATCACAGCTGTCCTCCCCACCTGAGTGTTATTCTCAGTTATAAGGTGTGGAAAACAGGTTTAATCAGAAATACAAAAGAAAGAAAAGTTCAAAGAAAAAAGAAAAATAACAACTGCCGATAATGTTTGACTAAAAGGCGGATATTTATGTG